CTCTCTCTCTCTCTCTATCTCGTTCTCTCTCTCTCACACACACATGCACACGAACTGAAACGGATGGAGGATGGTTATACATTTCAGACATTCAGAGCATGACGTTTAGGTGAGAAAGAAGGAACTATCCGACATTATTGCTCATAACTTAACTATGGGAGTAACACCGCCCCGCGGTCCATAAAAGAAGCTGTGTTCGTACTGTTTTCCGACGCGCCTACCGCCATTACAGTTGTTTTAACCTTATGTGTTCAGTGTGAAAAGTGGCGACGCAGGTGAGATCTACCAAGGCCAGTAATGATGGTTTCCTCAAGAGAGAACTAATCTACTTGTATAAATTCTTCCGGTCTAATGGATATCCAACAATATTTGTCAAAAATTTCCTCAGATGTCATGATCAAGCACCAGACCTCCTTTCTAATGGAGATATAGTGTCACGGAAATTTTACTCCCTACCTTACATGAATAGAATCTCTGCAACCATCTCACGACAACTAAGTCGTATCGGCATCTCCGTCGCCCACAAGCCCGCATCCTCACTGCACGCAAACCTATGTCGATTAAAGGACCCCTACCCATAGAACAACTAGTTAACATTATTTATCACATATCAAGAGCCAGCTGTCCTTATGTTTATTTTGGCCACACAGGCCGACGTCTCGAGACTCGTATCAACGAACAGAAGTTAGCCCTTATCACTCCTATTTGCTCACTCTTGAGTGTGATCACCGCTTCAATTGGGATGGCACCGAGGTGATCGCCGAGGCTAACACGAGACAAGCGAAAGAGTTCTTTGAAGCTTGGCACTCGAGCCCGGCCAACATTAACAGGCATGTGGATCTTGATTCACACTATGGCGGTTTGCGCGCATGCTCCACTAATGTGTGCCCAGCGTGAAACAACAACAGTCTATCTTTATTGATTCGGCATTTCCCCGGACGCGTGACCCACAATCTACACGTTAACACCCACCCACCCCCTCCCTCCTCTCACCTGCAGAACCCATCGTATCGGGATTCACGTCACCGTAGCTCCCCCTATCCCTTCCCGTTCGGTGTAACCTCTGCGCCCAAGACCTCTAGTGCGACATGGCCAGCCCTCACTTTTCATTTAGTCTGTCGATGAACAAGTGTTACCTGTTCGAAAATTCACGAGTACAGCTCGATTTTTCGAAGATCTTTCTTTTCATCATGTCATCTCGGAGTGCAACTTACTTCGCTCATCCAACATAATTACTCATCCCT